AAAACATGTTTCTCTATTTCTGATCCAGGGAAATATAACATTCTGCCCTTTCAATATTTCCTAGGATATTCCATTTTTCTAGGAGAGGGGTGGGTGCTAACTTCCTACAATGCTAATTCTTGCAAAAGAAGAATTAATCGAGTGAGGGAGAAGCAGTCCCTGCATTAAGTAGTTGGTGCCTTCTTCATAATGTCTTTTAAGGCTTCCCAGGGGAAGGGCAGAAACTCTGGATCTGGGATACCCATCAGAGGTGGACTTCCTGCTGACCTGGTACCAATAGGATCCTCAGCATTTCAGCTGCTGCAGCATGGCCCATGGATCTGGCCAGTTGTCTGTTCTGGGGTTCCACTTTTGGTTGCACAATTCTCAGTTTTAGCAAATCTTGTTTGCTAAACTTTGTCCTGAACATGCTGTCTTCTTTCTTCTCTATAAGTGTAATAACAATATAATTGTTAGCAGTAATAACAAACCGGCATCCCAGTTTTATTTGTTTGCAAAATAATCGTCTTTTCTTTGGATTCTCGTGTTCTTTTTCTTTGGATCTGAGATATGATTATGGCAATTGAGCCACGTGGAAAGGATTGTTCAGCATGGGAGCCTTTAAGACAGCTACCATACTTTTTTTTAAAATCTCCAGATTAAGCACAGTCAAGGTTTCCAATCTTTCATTATAATCTTTCCTTACCAGGTCAGTGCTCTTCATGAGTGTTCTCCTTTGGACAAAGTCCAGTGACCAGAACTAGACACAATGTTCTAGATACTGTACATTCTAACATAAACAGAATGGAGTGGAACAATGATTTCTCATGATCTTGACCTTTTATTTAACACTGACATATTGTTGGCTCATATTCAACTTGGGCTCCACCAAGACACCTTTCCCAAATACCATGTTGCCCAGCTTGGTGCCCCGCTGCATCCCGAAATCATGCCTTTCCTACCTAGATGAAGGAACTTTTCTGCCCATTATTCCAGCTTGTCAAGATCTTCCTGAATCTTGAGGTTATTCTCATCTGTTTTATCCCACATTGACAACTTTGATCCAATCGTGTTTATCTTTTCAATATCACATTTTCTCTCCCCACATGAAAGTCATTGATAAATAATCTGAACAGCACAGAGCCTAGAACCTAGATGGTAGCAAAAGCAATAGCAGTTAGACTTATATACCGCTTCATAGGGCTTTCAGCCCTCTCTAAGCGGTTTACAGAGAGTCAGCATATTGCCCCCAACAACAATCTGGGTCCTCATTTTACCCACCTCGGAAGGATGGAAGGCTGAGTTAACCCTGAGC